AACTGATGTGATTCTGCAATCTGTATATGGGGTAAAAACGGGAGTTCATAACCCACTTGAATCAAAGTGTGAAATATGATATATCAAGAAATATGTAATGTTTTGAACAACCAACAATAAAAAATTTTAAAAAAATAAAATAAAATAAAGGTATTGTGTCCAACTATAACTAAAATATATATGAGTGTGTATGTGTGTGTATGTATAATTTTTAAATATATTTTTTAAAAAAAGAAATGAGCTATCAAACCATGAAAAGAGTGGAGTTTTTTACATACAGCTACATAAAAGAAGCCAATATGAAAAGGCTACATGCTGATGATTCCAACCACACATTATAGAAAAGGCAAAACTACAGAAATAATAAAAATATCAGTGGTTTGGAGAAAGGGGAGAGACTTTTAAAGCAGTGAAACTATTCTGAATGACACTGTAATGGTGGAAACACATCATTATACATCTGCCAAAACCTAAATAGTATACAACACAGAGCACACTCTTAACTATATTCTTTAGTTAATAATAATGTGTCTACATGGGTTCAAAAAATTGTAACAGCTACTACACTGATGCAAAATGTTAACAAGAAAACCAAACATGGAGGAAAAAGGGAGACATAGGGAATTCTTTATACTCTTTGCTCACTTCCTACAAATTTATAATTTTCTATAAATCCAAAATTGCTCTAAACAAGTTGATCAATTGCAAAACCCAAAATGCATAAATTCCTTTATAATAATAAAGTATATTATTGTATAACTTAAGATACAAAAGTCAAAAAAGAAAAATTAACCAGATAGTTGATAAAAGAACATAAAAGGTAAATTTTTAAAAAATTATAAACTTGGGGTAAATTTCTACAGTGTCTCCTTTGTATAAAGAAAACATCTAAAATTAATAAGAGTTAATAAGACTAAAACATGATAGAAAAATGGGCAAAAGAGATCAATAATTCAATTTCATTTCCATGAACAGTACAAGACAGAATCTGTTTGCCAAACACCAGGGATTTCAAACTGATGATTTTAGCACATGAATGCAGGATGATAAATCAAAAGGCATTTTTCAAAGCACAGCTATGATACAGTAAACTATTTGGCATGGTTCTTCAATATTCTAAACATCATTACTAGAAAATTTTATAAAATACCATATCCCACAAGTTATTACTTCCTTGACATTTTTTTTTCCTTCTCAGTTTATTCTTTCATTAAGTGGTATTGCCCCTAGGATGCTCTCTGGATGACCTACATGTTTATAACCCCTGATGTATACTCCCTGGGGGCTCCAATTCCTTCAGCTACCTGAGACTGAGGATTGATGGACATTCGGCTTGTTAAAGTAGACTCATCATCTATAAATTCATTCTCCTTTCTTGCCTACTTCAGATGGTAATCAAATTGAATCTGAGTAGCACAAAGTGAGAAAGGAGAAAAAGAAATCAAGTATTTACTCAAGCATGTAGTTTTAGTATTACCAAATTAACAACTACCAAGACCAGCTACTTTCACCACCTAAAAATATTAAGAGGAAAATTCCCTCTTTGCTATCTATGCTGCCCAAGAATATAAAATGGCCACACAATGGTTTCTACATGTGCTTGGATCCCATATATCCCATATATCTCTTTGTTTATCAATCAGGTTTTAAGATGGTCATTTATGACAACAAGTCAAACTTAAAGTAATAATCAAAACTTTATTCAGGGTAGGAGGTACAGCACTTTCCTAGCATGCATGAAGCCCTTGATTGGATCTCTAGCACCACACTTCTAAAAAAGCAAAGACTTTATCTGCTTACTATGACAATGCAAGAAAGACCCATAAATAGAGGAACAGGTTCCATAAGCAAGGAGCAAGTAAATGAGCACTGATGCAGGAATCATCTCATTCCAAGAGCTGCAAACAAAAGGCCCCTGCCTATTTATAGACCCATGGACATGGTAGAAAAAAGGGTAAAAGCTAGAAGTGGAAAGGTACTGACTCAAAGTGGAGAAAAGTACTTCTATCAAGGACCCCAATAACAAGTGCTTAGCCAAAGCACCCGGGGGATATCTTCATCAATGTCTGAGGTAGAGCCCTCAAAACAGAGGTACCTATACATATAAGCATGGCTGTTCTAAAAAACTGAGGGGATACAGAGGTTGGAGTCCTTGACTTCATTATCTCAAAAAAACTGCAATCATTATGTACCAAGTTTGACATGATGGGGCAACTTCCCCCTGTAAGGCCTGATGAGCAAAGCCTTGTTACTGTCTATGGTTGTACCTGAAAGATGGCTTGGAATTTTGGCCTAGAGTTGGATTCCTCACCCTTTAGGTGAGGAGTGTGCCCAAAAGCCTATACAAAGATTCACCTACATCTGACTCCACACCTCTTCAATACTGTTACCTCCTGCTTCATATTTTATACTCTGAGAAAACTACTGTCTCCAAACTATTTCCAACTTCCATACCTTTGTCTGTTTCCTGTGGTTTCCCCTCATCCCTTTCTTCACCAAGCACTTATCCTTTAAGATTCATCCCAGGGCTGGGGATGCTCAAGCGGTAGTGCGCTCACCTGGTATGTGCAGGGCACTGGGTTCGATCCTCAGCACCACATAAAATAAAATAAAGATGTTGTGTCCACCAAAAACTGAAAAAAATAAATATTAAAAAAAAATTCATCCCAACTGCCACCTCCTTCAGAAGCCATCTTAATAAACAGCCACTCTCTTTCTAAACGTAAATAATAATTCTCTTCTCAGTAGATTTATTAGCTCTTCTGTACAAACACTTCTATTATCTTACTTCGTACATAATATATTCTGTTTCTATCTCTATCTCTGCAACAAAACACTAAATTCCTAGAGAACAAAAGCTACACCCTATTGTTTTGTATCCCCAATGCCTAACAAGTGGCTGAGACTCAACAGAAACTTCAGGAACAAATTGTGGAATTTGTATTCTAAACCTCAGCATTAGAGCCATGTGCAGTGGCACACACCTGTAATCCCAGCAGCTTGAGAGACTAAGGCAGGAGGATCACAAGTTCAAAGCCAGCCTCAGCAAAAGCAAGGCACTAAGCAACTCTGTGAAACCCTGTCTCTAAATAAAGTACAAAATAGGCTGGGGATGTGGCTCAGTGGTCCAGTGTCCCTGAGTTCAATCCCTGGTACCAAAAAAAAAACAAAACAAAAAAAAAACTCAGCATTAGTGCAGCACTAGGAACAGGACACTACCTCAGCAAAAGTGAAAGAGACAAAATCCATAAGCTGACCAATCACAAGGTCCTCAGCACTGACATCCTCTCCTTATATAGGTCCTATTTCAAAACCAGCTGGTAATAAAATTGTCCAATGTAGACCTGCCACTCCATGGTTTGGTGTCAAAACTGGATTCACACTCTATGAAAAGACAATATTACTACCTTTTATACTTCAAAGAATCTTCTTTGTTTCTTCAACCTCATTTCTAGGTCAAAGATAGTTATTAGGAATCCATTAGAAAAACAATAAAACTAGTCAGCTTCCTGAGAAAAATAACTAATTTATTACTTGAGCTTTTTGCTACTACCAAGACAGCCACCCCTATTCTGTCCTAGGAAAGAGACTTCAAGGCAGCCTAAAAATCCTATGATATTTCTTCTATAAAAGATCATCTTCTACCCATTCCAATTGGCTTCTTAATCTACTGGCCTCAGGGCACATGTTTGTCAGTAATTTCTAATGGATCTTCTGTTAATACGTCTCAGCACTGGAACATTTAAAAGTGTCTGTTTGCAAAATGATAACCACAAGTTTTCTCCTCAAGTTTTTAACTTCCTGTAATTTTACTTTCGAGAAAATTTTAGGTAGGAGAGGAGAAGGAAGTAGGGAGCCAAACAGAAAACAGACAGTCAATGTCAGCAAAGGCCTTAAAGGACAACAGACCTATGACATTAAATTGAAAAAGCCATGTAAACTGGTGTCCTTGTTCAGTCATATTTTCTAGCTAAATCACCAGAGAGAATACCAGACTTCATTCATTATTAGCTTATAGGAGTACAGCCCAGTCAAGCCTGAATCCCAGGCCTAAAGCAATTCCATGCCAGAGAACTTCGATTCACTCTCTCAGTGAACACTCAGGTATGTGCTGAGACTATAAAAATTCTTTCTGCACTTACTAAACAAGCATGGAGCTACAGATACCAGGCAGAAAAAAAGCCAGACTGGGTAAGAAGGAAACCAAGTACTACAAAAATCTAATGAGAATAAAAAAGAGAGCTTCTTACCTAGTGCTATGAGTCTGAATGTTTGTGCCCTCCTAAATTCATACGTTGAAATCCTAACACCCAGCTACTTAGGATGCTGAGGCAGAAAGACTACAAGTTCAAGGCAAGCTTAGAAAGAGTAACATCCCATCTCAAAAAAGAAAAGGAAAAAAGAGAAATCCTAAATCCCAAAGTGACAGTATTAGGAGGGGGGATTTTGGGGAGGTTATCAGGTCATGAAGGCAAAGCTCTCATGAATGAGATTAGTATCCTGATAAATGAGACCTCCAGGATCCAGGGTCTTTCTGTCATGTGAACATCCATAGAGAAGGTGGCTATCTATGAAGCAGAGGACTTGATCCAATACCAAATGTGCCAGTATCTTGACCTTGAATTTCTCAGCCTCCAGAACTGTGAAAAATACATTTCTGTTGTTCATTAGTCCCCAGCCTATGGTATTTCATTCTAGCAGCCTCCAAACACTAAGACATCTGGTAAATGCTCATTCCATTGTTAGACTCAAAAGAAATTGTATGACCACATGGTCTTGTTGAATCTTCTCTTACTTCTATACATAGTATCTATGTTTTCCTATATCTTTTGCCATTAAAGAAATTTTTTATCCTCAATGTTGGAAGATAAACCAGTAATCTTTGTGAAACTGACATTTACAAATACAATGTTAAGATCCTAAAATATTGTGATGAATTATACTTCTCTAAATTATATCAATGATAAATAAATGAAAGAGTGAGTACCTTTTGTACTTACAAGAGAACATGAGCGACAATGGCATTCACATCAAACAAAGTATCAGTAGGGAATTCTCTGAGCAATATGTTGCCTCTATTAAAAAAAAAAAGTTTAAAAGCTATTATAAAAATATTTCCTTAGAATTCAATTTACTTGTTTACTAATACACTTTGAGTCTGTGTCTTATACATGTGCCCTATGCATCTACCAGAATGTTGGCATATAATATGCTCTCAAATATTAATTGAACGTACACTCAATAAATAAATTTATTTTGTAAAGCTCAGGCACTGAATCTGGTAAAATAGATTGAAAAAACAAAAAGAAGAGTATAAACAAGGCTTCCTAACAACCTCCTTGTCACATACATACACAGAGATTCAAAAACTGGGTTGGGAAGGAGACAAACAGTAAAGAGAAAAAGTTTCCTCAGTGAGAGTTTCCTGCGCAAATAGACGGCTCACTACCTCCTAGGCCAAATCTTAAGGGTTTGAGGATAGGAGGTGAAACACCTCAGAAAGATTATCAGACATAAATACAGAGGAAACTACAAACTGGACACTGGCAGATGCCTCAAAAATAAAGTATACCTAAATATGAATCTGACACAGCAACTTGGAACACTAAATTTGCTAAGTGCTTACTGACCCAGCATTTGTAGTATGATTTCATGTAATATTCAAAACATCCCTGTAAGGTAGATATTACTCTCCACATTTTGAGAACAAGGAAGTTGTTCAGAGAGGTTAGGTAGCAAATCTATTACTTATAGAGTTTTTGTATGTGTGTGTGTGCATGCCGGAGATTAACCCAGTGGCACATAGCCACTGGACCACATCCCCAGTCCTCCTTATTTTTTTAAATTTTGAGGCAGGGTCTCAATAAATTGCTGAGGCTGACAAGTTGCTGGGATTAAAGGTATGAGCCACCATGTCCCAGTTTACTTCAATTTTTTACTGAACTTCATATGATCCCCACTAAAAACAACTTTATTTTGGCTTAGTGACATTTTATATGCTTGAATATTGAGAAGTATATTGGCACATCACACTCAAAAATACAGTTTACCTGAATAAATATGCTTTCATCAAATCCTTTTCTTTTCCACAGTATTTTGATGTTTCTTCTTTGACACAATTAACCTTTAAAAGATTATATTTAAGGTTTAAGGTATGTACAAAAAGGCAAGTTTCCTGGTTATGAAAACAAGGACAATTAAACATGTCATCTTGTATCCAATGCAATTTTGTATTTTCTTTTTGTATGTTTATTAAATCATTAATAAATAATTAAGGATTACTTATATAATCCTTTAAAGTGAGGAAGATAATCTAATCCACATGGATAAATCTCAAACTGTTAAAAGTCAGTTGTTAAAGGATATGTACAATATTGTTCGTGTAAACTGTTAAAACACAAAACAATACAGTCTATGGATAAACGGTAACAGCCAAGAATACAGAAACATTAAAAATACAAAACTATAACACCATTTTAGGATAATGAATGCTTCTGGGTATGAAAGGAAGATGAGGTACCAAAGTTATATCACAAAGTATCAGAAGAGAATGATGTGTAAAGTAAAAGTAACAATAATCAATGTTTTAGAAAAGGAATTAGCTAACTCTTAATAAATGACCAGAAAGTAAATATTTTAGGCTTCACAGGCCAAGAAGCAAAATTTGAGGAAATTATGTAGATAGTTTATTGGGATTTAAAGTTAGTGTGTCCTGTCATCAGACTTGGTTCTAAAACATTTATGCTGAAAAACACTAAAACCATTCTTAGCTTGTAGACTACCCCAAAGCAGGCAGTATTCTAGACTGAGCCCATAGGCCATAGTTTGCCTGCTGCTAGCCTAAAAGAGCATCGTCTGATTGAACTTCCTGTGATGATGGAGATATTCTATATCTGCATAGTCTACAGTTTTGTGATCACCACCACATGTGGCTACAGAAACTAAGAAATTGAATTTTTAGCACTGTTTTTACTCCATGCTGGGAATCAAACCCAGGATCTCACCCATGAGCATTTTGCCACTCTACCACTGAGTTATATGGTCAGTCTGAGAAAATAAATTTTAATTAGATTTATTCATAGTTAAAATACAACTCTAGAGTGTTTTCATGAATTTAATGAATAGGTATAAAAGGAATGGTTGAAAAAATAAGATGGGGTAATAGGATGTATCAGTGACTTTGAGAAAAGAAACACTTCGAGTAATGAGAAGTTATTTTGAGCATGGCTGATAAGAAATACACAGAGATACAAGATTGCACAACAAAAATGTTCAAGACAGAGATGTTAGGTTTGACTAACATCAAGGTGGAGAGAAGAAATTCCAAGGATGAGAATAGAGAAGGCTAGAAATAAGACAATCATAAACAGTTACGCTACCTGATATTTAAAGAACAGAAGGAAAATACATGTGCTATCTTTTACAAATTTTATTGTTCTTTAAAAACAGTCAACCTTCAGTGATTTAAGTTTAAAGGGATATGTACAAGTATGATGTTAAGCTTTCTGAACTCTCACTGGTTGATAAAAAACAGGGGAAGCCCTTGGTATTCACATATTTAACAGTAGAGGCTTTCAATTACATAAGAGAGGCTCTCCTGGCTGGAAGTCCATGACATAATGATTTATGATTTTGCTGAGGCATCACTTTGAATAGCACACACTTAGCATTCATAACTTGTCACCTAATCCATGAGCCCAAATATCCATGGATTCTCTAATCATAATGCCATATACATTTTATGTGAAGAATTAAATACAACAGTGGTATAAGGGAAACACAAACAACTTGGAGTTTATCTTACTGTGAAAGTCAAGGATTTTACTCCAAGATTTTATAAAGATTTTTCCAAAGGTCTTCATCTAATCTTAAAAAAATAATCCTTCACTCTAGTATCCCATGCTTATGAAAAGAATTTAAATGCCAGAATAATTTGAATAATCATTATTTCCAAAATGTCAGTATAAAATTCAATTTGAATTTTATAAAGGGTTTTAAGCAGCTTAAGAAATCTAAACAATTATAAAATATAGTTTTGAAGCAATGTTCACAATCTAGGGCCCTGTTAAGAGATTATTCTACGGCAACAGTCCCATACATTTGTGTAAGGTCTTACAGATTTTCTACTGGAGCAAAAGAAAATTTTAAACAGTAGCCAACAAAAGATTTATTGCATTTGTTTTGTAGTTGGTTTGTTTGTTGGATACTGGGGATTGAACTCAGGGGTACTGGACCACTGAGCCACATCCCCAGGCTATTTTATATTTTATTTAGAGACAGGGTCTCACCGAGTTGCTTAGCGCCTCACTTTTGCTGAGGCTGGCTTTGATGAGGCTCAAGGTTCCTGCCTTAGCCTCCCAAGCCACTGGGATTATAGGCATGCACCACCGAGCCCAGCTGCTTCACAGTTTTTTGAAATCTCAAATCCTTCTTCCACTTGAAAATAGGAGAATTCAAAAAAATACAAATCTATATAAGGGTCCCTCCCCTCTTTTTACTTTCAAAGTCAGTGTTGGCTCCTAACACTGGCTGAGCACCTATGCTTAGGCAGACACTCCATTGCACTTTCTTAATTTTTTTTTTTTTTTTTTTGAAAAAGAAAGTTTCTTCATTTTCACTGTAGGATGCAAGGAGGCATTAGTGATAACCCTCAGGCCAGAGTAGATGACTGGTAAGTCTCAGGAGATACACTGGGAGGAGTTTTTGTTGGTTTAAAATCCTCTATTTTTCATCTGTTTATTTTAGTGCTCTTTAAGATCAAGGCCTGGTGACTGGTCTCCTATCTGATCTGGTAACAAGATTTTGAGTGTACTTGCAAGGGGACAGATAGAGGTCATCAGAATCATCCCCAGAACTGTTCCATTCACAAACACACTCTACAGATTATTGTTTTCTTCTTTTTTATAATCAATACTTATTTTCTGTCCCAAAGGAGTGAAATGAATACCATCTTCCCAGTTAAAATTTTTAAGTTATCACAAAAACTGACAAATTCATCCAATATTTTTTTTGCATTTTAATCAGAATTTATTTGATTCTATGTTTGTTTACAGGGGTGGGGGAGTTGTTTGGCACTGGGGATTGGACCCAGGGGCACTTCACCACCATGCTATATGTCTATCCCTTTTTATTTTCTTTTTTTTTTTTTAATTTTTTATTGTTGGTTGTTCAAAACATTACAAATTTCTTGACATATCATATTCCACACTTTGATTCAAGTGGGTTATGAACTCCCACCTTCACCCCATACACAGATTGCAGAATCACATCAGTTACACATCCATTGATTTACATATTGCCATACTAGTGTCTGTTGTGCTCCGCTGCCTTTCCCATCCTCCACCATCCCCCTTCCCCTCCCCTCCTCTCTCTCTACCCCCTCCATTGTATAACCCTGAGGGTCTCCTTCCATTTCCATGCAATTTCCCTTCTCTCTCCCCTTCCCTCCCACCTCTCATCCCTGTTTAATGTTAATCTTCTTCTCATGCTCTTCGTCCCTACTCTGTTCTTAGTTACTTTCCTTATATCAAAGAAGACATTTGGCATTTGTTTTTTAGGGATTGGCTAGCTTCACTTAGCATAATCTGCTCTAATGCCATCCATTTCCCTGTAAATTCTATGATTTTGTCATTTTTTAATGCAGAGTAATACTCCATTGTGTATAAATGCCACATTTTTTTTATCCATTCGTCTATTGAAGGGCATCTAGGTTGGTTCCACAGTCTTGCTATTGTGAATTGTGCTGCTATGAACATCGATGTAGCAGTGTCCCTGTAGCATGCTCTTTTTAGGTCTTTAGGGAATAGACCAAGAAGGGGAATAGCTGGGTCAAATGGTGGCTCCATTCCCAGCTTTCCAAGAAATCTCCATACTGCTTTCCAAATTGGCTGCACCAATTTGCAGTCCCACCAGCAATGTACAAGTGTACCCTTTTCCCCACATCCTCGCCAGCACTTGTTGTTGTTTGACGTCATAATGGCTGCCAATCTTACTGGAGTGAGATGGTATCTTAGGGTGGTTTTGATTTGCATTTCTCTGACTGTTAGAGATGGTGAGCATTTTTTCATGTACTTGTTGATTGACTGTATGTCCTCCTCTGAGAAGTGTCTGTTCAGGTCCTTGGCCCATTTGTTGATTGGGTTGTTTGTTCTCTTATTGTCTAATTTTTTGAGTTCTTTGTATACTCTGGATATTAGGGCTCTATCTGAAGTGTGAGGAGTAAAGATTTGTTCCCAGGGTGTAGGCTCCCTATTTACCTCTCTTATTGTTTTAGCGACAAATCCTCTGAAATGAGCGACAAATCCTCTGAAATGGAAATGAGGACAACCACTCCATTCACAATATCTTCAAAAAAAATAAAATACTTGGGAATCAACCTAACAAAAGAGGTGAAAGACTTATACAATGAAAACTACAGAACCCTAAAGAGAGAAATAGAAGAAGATCTTAGAAGATGGAAAAATATACCCTGTTCATGGATAGGCAGAACTAACATCATCAAAATGGCGATATTACCAAAAGTTCTCTATAGGTTTAAAGCAATGCCAATCAAAATCCCAACGGCATTTCTTGTAGAAATAGAGAAAGCAATCATGAAATTCATATGGAAAAATAAAAGACCCAGAATAGCAAAAACAATGCTAAGCAGGAAGTGTGAATCAGGCGGTATAGCGATACCAGACTTCAAACTATACTACAGAGCAATAGTAACAAAAACAGCATGGTACTGGTACCAAAACAGGCGGGTGGACCAATGGTACAGAATAGAGGACACAGAAACCAATCCACAAAACTACAACTATCTTATATTTTGATAAAGGGGCTAAAAGCATGCAATGGAGGAAGGATGGCATCTTTAACAAATGGTGCTGGGAAAACTGGAAATCCATATGCAAAAAAATGAAACTGAATCCCTTTCTCTCGCCATGCACAAAAGTTAATTCAAAATGGATCAAGGAGCTTGATATCAAATCAGAGACACGCCGTCTGATAGAAGAAAAAGTTGGCTACGATCTACATTCGGTGGGGTCGGGCTCCAAATTCCTCAATAGGACACCCATAGCACAAAAGTTAATAACTAGAATCAACAAATGGGACTTACTCAAACTAAAAAGTTTTTTCATC